TTACACTGTTACTTTAAATAATTGATCGATTTGACCTTTACTTGATAGAAATTCCTTTTATGTAACAATAAAACACTGAAAACTTTGTTTTCAAAACTTCCACAAAATTTATTTTAAACTCTTATCACTACAGCTGTTTTGGCTGATTTCCTTTCTTAAGTGATCTATTTTTGGCGTATGTACACTTTATATTCCTTAATGAAATAGGTTGAGGAAGGGAGAACTGTTTGTCTCAAGTTGGTCATTCAGAATTATATCTGTGTTTTTTAATTTGTCGATTTCAATAGATTCTAACAAAGATAGCTTAAGGCCTTTATTTTGAATTATGAAGAATGTTAAATTCGTCATTAAAAGAATGATTGTGATCTACATACGCACTTCACCTTCTAGATCATAATCATTCTTTTAATGACGAATTCAACATTCTTCACATTCAAAATAAAGGCCTTCAGCTATCTTTAATGATAGGATCTATCTTTAAGGATGACCTACGGCGCAGAAACCCTCACAAGAAAAACGAATAATGTTAGTTAGTTATGAACACTGCTCAATGCTACTATACGCAGAAGATCAGGAGTAGCAGACGTTATTGAAAGGATAACAACACTAAAGTGGAACTGGGCAGGTCATGTAGCAAGATCAGTTGATGACCAGTGGAAAAAAAGAACTTTGGAATGGAGACCCCGAATACAAGCTAACAGAAATAATGGTCGACCTCTAACGAGATGGACAGATGGCATAAAAAGAGTGACTACAAATTGGATTCAGATGGCGTAAATCGGACTAAGCAGCATGCGAGAGGCCTATGTTCAGCAGTGGACGTTAAAGGCTAGTTGATGATGATGATGAAGCTATCTTTGTTAGAATCTATTGAAATCAACAAATTAAAAAACATAGATATAATTCTGAATGACCAACTTGAGACAAATAGTTCTCCCCTCCTCAACCTATTTCATTAAAGACTATAAAGTGTAAACGCATGCCAAAAATAGATCACTTAAGAAAGGCAATCAGCCGAAACATCTGCAGTGACAAGAGGTTAAGATAAATTTTGTGGAAGTTTTGAAAACAAAGTTTTCAGTGTTTTACTGTAACTTTAACTGTTGTACACTGTTTTTTATCAATGTAAATGAGTTGTGACCGATATTATAAACTTATTTACTCTGCACAAAGAGTCTCTTTAACACCTACAGTTTTTACTATACAAATCTGATTCGAATTGTATCCGAAAAGTAATAGTCAATATGGAAAATTTAAATTTTTAATGAAAAATTAAAGTTAACCCATTACTTATGAGGTCAAAAGAAGCAGCCTTCACGAAGACTGAAGTACTAATGAGACCGTCGGGCATATCCTGAGTAATGATTAATAAATTAATCGGCTAATTCTTTAATCACCCGTTCAATATGATTTTGTCAAATCGGTCCTTTTCAGGACCAACTATTCTAATTATGTCTATAAATATTGAGGGCATATCTAGAGATAAAAAATCTGTATTTTGCTTAAACTTATTAGATATACCTATGAGTTTAATACAAATGTGACGTATTTGTAGTGCAGATCTTTGCTGGCAATGAAAGCAAAGAAAAACTCAAAGTGCGAGAGAAAAAAAACCAGTCAGCTGAGGGAACATTTCAACAATGTTGAGCTTGGATCTACCATCTACTAGTAGACACTAGGACTGGTATTATGAAGACGATATATCTATTGATGCACCAAAAAAATTTGTTGCTGAAGTGGATAAAAATATAAATCATACCTTAAACACAATAAAAATATATTATAAATGAATTTTAAGCCAAATCCAATAGTATCATAAAATGCTTCAACTCTGGACTTCCTATAAATACCTTGCAAATATTTTGTACTGCACACATAACTAAAGGGAAAACTGAGGACCAGAAATAATATTCTCCGCAAGCTTGCCAGTATGGGTGACATCAACACATCCTTAACACGTAGATTAAGACTCCACATCAATACATAAACTCTACCCTATCGTAGCTGTAAATATATCCAATATGCCAAGTTTATTGAAACCGTTACTTGATGAAAATTTATTTTATCTAACAATAAAAGATGTATGCGTTTACACGTTATACTTTGTAGCTGAATAAGTAATGGACGGGATAATTGTTTGTCTCAAGCTGGCCACTAGAATTATGTCTTTATTTTTTAATTTGCTAATTTCCATAGATTCTACTTTTCATAGAATCTAAAGGTAGCTTCAGGGCTTTATTATAAATATAATTTTTCAGGAACGAAAATACGTAAATAGAACCTGGAATATGCATGTAACGTAACCTTTGATCTCTGAGATAAACCCAACTCCTGAACAATGGCGCCGATATATGTAGTTAAAATTTTGTACACGTATTTAACCGTTTATTTTCTTATTATCCATATATGATTTGTGACCGATATTACAAACTCATTTACTTTTCACAAAGAGACTCTATATTAACTACAGTTATTACTATACAGATATGATCGAAATATTGTCTAAAAGTAACAGTATGTAAAATTATAATTTTTAATGAAAAGTAAAAAATTAGCCATTTTTTATAGGGTTTAAAGATCGACCAAATTGGCCTTTTAAAGCCAACTATCCTAATTATGTCTATAAATATTAAGGGAATATCTAGAGATAAAGATACTTTATTTTACTTAACTTTATCAGACATATGCGGTTAACACAAATGTGACGTAGTTCTAGTGCAGGAAACACATTCAGGGCCAAACATAGGCAAACAAGCAAAGAAAAACTTAAAATAAGAGGGGACAAAACCAGTCAGCTGAGGGAATCTTTCAACAGTGTTGAGCTTGGATCTGCTATCTACGTATATAATGAACAATATTACGGCTCCTGCTAAGGATCTGAGCACAAAACTAATTCTAAAATTTGGATCAAAAATACAACAATGGCTTGTATTGTCCGGGTATGCCTACACAAAAGAAGATCACTCAATGGTAAAAATAACAGATGGAAAACGCAGAAGAACGGTGTCCTTTGGGGTAGCGTAATGGTACCTACACTGTATAATATTTACACAACCCATACCAGTAATTACTAGGACTTACTTATTATAGAGACGATACATCTATATTGTTGCACAACCAAAAACTTTTGTTGCTGAAGTATAGAAAAATCTAAATTATACCTTAAACACAATAACAATAGACTATAAATCAATTTTAAGCCAAACCTCAGAAAAATTCAGATGTCCTCCTTTTATGTCCCTAACAGAGACGCTTTCAAAAATCTAAACATCCAATAGTGTCATAAAATTTTTAAACCCTGGACTTGCTATAAATACCTTGAAAATAGTTTGTATCACACTTTCTCATTCACAGAACATTGTTTAAAACTAAAAGGCAAACTGAGGACCAGAAAAATAATCTCTGCAAACTTGTCAGCTAAAAATGAAAAGCGCATCCTTTACAAACAATACACATACAAAGTCTTGAATCGCAACATCCACTCAACGAATACCAGCCCAATTATGACTAAAATCGAGAAAAATCTGACCAAAAATTATTGCAAATTTTACACTCCACGTTTATTGATTACATATAACCCCTAAATAGAAGATAAAACATTCAGAAGTATGTAATATTGGTGAACTGGTATAACCTTCTTATATAAATTAAGCATTCTTCCCTCTTTTGTGCAGTACTACCAATTTTTACATAAAAATATCTATTTTTGCACTTAAATATTTATTTTAAGATAACCCATTCAGAATTTTATGTAGTACACAGATAAAATCAGAAATAAAATAATAAAGAAGCTGTATACAAGATATCGTAAAACAATGGATTAACTAAAAGTTCTTATTAATCGTATTCTTAAATAAAACGTATAAAGACATACTCATGATAACAAAATGCATTAGGAAACTTTCGCATATGAAAAAACACATCCAACTTGGTAATGAAATCCTTTTGTATTTATAAAGCTATTTTTAGCACGTCCCTACCAAAAACAGGTATTTGGTATTATACATATCTATTACATATTGTTATGATGATCGCCAACATTCGTAACGGATAGGCACATCAAGAAGAAGAAGAAGATTACATATTGTAATGCGTATGAATGTTAACAAAAATGAGGAGTCCGTATGAACCGTTTAAAATATATAAAATGTATATATCAAGAACGCTGGCTTAATTGCATAGTTGCCAAACTATCAGAGCTTACTTAAACCGATATACTTATGGTTCCAATATACAGTGAAAAAGATCTGAACGACCCCTATAATATATACACGTGAACTAAGCGAAATACATTTATGATACAGGTGTACTTATGAGCTCCAAAATTTTTTTAAGAATTATGAAACTATACATCTTAACGAATCGACAGAGCCAATATTATGGAATGGACAAGTGAGCTCCGTATATCGGTGTCCACTTGACCACGGAGCTCACTTAAACCTGAATTTTAACATGGGCGGAGTTCACTTTATGCCGTAATATATATATATAATATATATATATATATTATATATATATATATATATATTATATATATATTATGTTATATATATATTTATATATATATATATATATATATATATATATATATATATATATTTATAATATGTTTATATATATATATATATTTATATATATATTATATATATATATATTATTATATATATATATATATATTTATATATATATATATATATATATATATATATATATGTATATTATATATATATATTATATATATATATATATATATATATATATATACGCACCAAAAGTTAGACAATTTCATATTTGTATAAAAAATTACTAATGTAATTTTGAGTCACAAACAAATTCTCGGTGTTTTTAATCAAGATAACCTGAGAAAATACGTGAGTGACATCATACTAATGTGAATTTATCGAAGTGTTAATGACAGTCTTTAAAACATCTAAACGTAACTGATATTTTTAAAATGTGTCATTATTTGTCACATTTAAATACATCAAACATATTTTTAGGCACGAGTTAAACGCCATAATGGCAAAAAATGGAAGAGATATAACAAAACTACAAGATAAAATAGTACATTTGGAGACTGAACTTGCAACCAAAGATAGTGAATTAGTACAAGAACGTCAAGTGAAAGAAGATCTCTTAAATCAATCGTTTGCTGTCGCACAATCACAAGATTCTGAACGTAAGTATACATAATAAAGATGTATGTTCTTATTTCAGAGAAATCTCATTTATCTAATACTATCAGATCTATTTTCCTATACGCTCACTACTTTTGATATAAATTCTCATTGATTGTAGCTGATCAAATTATGGTCTGTTCGAACTTTTCAGAATTTTGGAATCAACCTTTTTGTATTTCTCGTGCGTAGCAAGAAAATGCATATAAATTATAAATGTACAGAGGTTCGGCCAACATATTCTTACGGCTGTCTTTAATCGCGTTTTGATTATCGTATGTTATAATTTGTGGTTTGTTATTGCTAGGGGAAGGTGGAGTTGAAGTATTTATTTTAAAAATTAAAACATTTTTTTAATTTTTTTTCCAAATAAAATTTTTCGAGTAATTTCTTATAGATCTTGTTTTTTTTCTTCTTCTTCTCATGGCGCCGTCTTCTTTCGAAAGGTTTACGATCCAAATGGCAATTGGCAATCTTCTTAGGTCTTTCAGCCATGAGTTCTGGCGTCTTGTTTTTTTTGCGCTTCAGATATTTTTCTCGATTGCTTTTGCTGATTTTAAGGTTTTCAGGTTGCTTATATACATAAATAAATTAGTTATACAGTGAAAGCCAAATAAAGTTGCGTTCACGTCATCATTGTGAACATTTGCAGCGTTGTCAGATGGTTTATGAAGTATGGAAATTAACAGAAAAGAACTTAAATAAACAAAAAAGGTGAAGATAGCAAATTTCACACTATATTGTTACACTTCTTAAAACTTAGCTTTATTCAACACCAATAATATAATAATACTTTTAACTAACTGACAACTATAAACTTCTACATTCAAAATACATCTGTTCCCCAACTGTCAAAAACATCTGTTATATACATATGTTCTGACGTTCCAAACTTCACTAGAAATTACAAGAATTTTCGATGTCATCTTGAATGTTCTCGAATAACTTCTCCTTTTTCGTCAATGGACTTTTCCTATGTGGGATAAATCTTTCGTAACAATATTAAGTGGAATTTAAAAATGAGTGTTTTTTTTCATTTATTTTTTTGTTAATTACATTCATGAATAGATTTCACAAAGTAAGTAATTTCACAATAAAAGTGGTAAAGTTATTACTGAGTTACCAAACAATAAGTTACTCGTTTATTAGTGCAACGCTTTTTCTTTGGTGACTCGAACTGTTCACCTTTTTTCTGCATTTGACATATGCACATATGCTGTTTACTGTTCTTACGCTGATTTTTAAAGCAGCAGCTACACGCTAAAATCATACAAATTTTTGTAAAGTAAAGTAATGATATTTTATTCGCATATTACCTCTTGTACAGCGTTTAATGGTAACAAAGAGCCATTATTAATCCTTTCTTCTTCAAAATAGTTAACTAATGAAGCCACAAGATCTTTGCATCGACTATTAAGCTGTTTGGGCATTTTGACAAGTAAATAAATGTTTTTCACAAGATAACCTCAAAAATCGACGATACCACGAGTACAAAAGTCACAGACCACTGAAAGAAAATTCAACAAACGACGCGGCAACATGACAATATTTCTGGTAGTGACTAATACTCCGTCAATAATTGGTGGTTTCTTCATGAACATTTCAACACAAAATTTTACAATGACGGACGTCTAAATCCAAACAAGCTATTCGCTGTGAGCCGATGAATAGAGGGAATTTGACAGTTTTCACCAACGCTGTTAGTGGCAGTTTTGTGCATTTAACTTGTAAACATTCAAATAATGGCGAATATGGATTTTTCAAAAAGAAAAAGATATAGCAGCTGTTGTATTGATACATGTAAAAATACTGGGTATAAGTGATTGTAAATTTTATTCATTTCCTGTTGCCAAGCATAAAATATGTAGTTCAAAGAGAAAAATGGATTATTGCTATCAATAAGATTTTTGGTGTAGCTGGTTAAAATGGGATATCATGTGATATAGATTTAAAACCAGTATAATGTTTAATATCCATTTTGATAAAATTAAAATAGATTGATATCTAAGCACTAAGGCCTAAGCACACAAAAAATAACAGCAAAAACAGAATGAAAATGCAAAATGAAAACAAGAATTACAACGTTACAAGCATGATACTATGACTAACAGTCCCGTAGCACAAAATCGGTCGTGTTCACGCATGCCGTCATTGGAGAGTAGAATTTGAATTCTTGTTAAAGTTAAATGGGAGTTGTATGCATTCTGTGATGAAATTACTAGACGAAGATAAGTTAAGAGGTTTAATAATTACAATAATCGTACACATAAGGATATCTCCAAACTATTTATTAAAGATTATTTATTGATACACACAAAAAACTGACATTTCGAACGTGAAACTCTCCAATGACGTCACGACTTATGCGTTATCTTATCTGCTTAGTCATAGTATCATGGTTACGAGAGGTAAAGGTAACCTTTAACCATTAAATATTTTCACATAAAGTTCTTCTTTTTCTCCATGGCCTCTTACGTAAGTAGTCATCCAGTCGCAGGAACTTATATCTTAAATATTAAAATTATAATGAATAAAATAAAAAGGCGTAATTACTTTTACTATTAATTCTGTATATTCGTTCAGTAATCAGTTTACAATAATATTTTAGTTCATAACTTTGTATTTTTAGATAAATATCTATTTTTCTCGTTTTGTCATATTTCACTTACACCGATTTTACAAGAAAAGTACAAGTTTCAAACCACGAGATAGCGCTACCGGCGAAGCTCACAGCGAATATATACATAGCTGTATATACATTATTTTGTTACAAAAGTTTTTTTTATTGATCGGGTTATTTTTAAAAGTGATTGTTTAGCAAACTAAAGTAACATACACTTTTCTATAGAAATGTAGCCACACATACAATAGAATTACGACATTGGTGACGTGCACGCAACTTTATTTGGCTTTTAGTGTATATATATATATATATATATATATATATATATATATATATATATATATATATATTTAAACCTAGAGCTAAGATTAATACTATTATAAAAATTACCAGTCTTCCGGGTTGAACCGCGTCGATATTCATTGCGCCGAGCTTTCGATATCCTCTCTAATGTCTTCTTCAGGGCTTCCGAGGTCTCAGTCTCCCTAGTCCCCAGACAATACTACAGTTATCACTAGTCACTTCAGTAGTGACCGTAAATGATTAACTTTATAAAAATGCGCTTTATTATGCCTTCATTCATCTCTTCTAAGCTTTTTTTTTGGAATAATTTATTCGTAATCTTGAGGGTTCTTGTTTAGCGTATTTAATTGGCAAATTGGGTATATTGCCGGTTTCACTTCTACAATATTTGCCCCACTGCTTTTATTGTGTTTTTATTGTTCCAAAGTATCTGAACTTTTTTGAAGTAAATTTCTTTATGTGAAATACATCTACAATTCGTATATCTGCTTTAGATATGTCTGTTTCCATATAAACTTTATCTGGTACAACTTTCCTAATTTTTGTTGTAAACTTTTAAAGAGCTTTTTCTTTTTTACTTGTAGATACTTTATCTTATGCTATACATACATGTAATTTGCATTTGCATACAAACTTTTATTTAATAATTAATATTGATATTATTTTTTAGAAAAAGTGAAAAATGAAAAATTCGACAAACTTAAGGAACTTTACGTTAAACTAAGGGATGAACACATTCAAAAAATTAGAGAGGTAAGATTAGTAGGCATCCAGATTATATATATATACAATTGATTTTCTGTATCGTATCGACCGTCTAATAAGTAAAACTAGTGAGTGGGATATCAGGTTTTTCGGTCAAAAAATAAAACGATTCTATTGTCTCGTCAAACTCGATATTTGGCTAATGTTTGCTAGTTTCATCAGGAAATCACTAAAATAATTATTAAAATCAATTATTACATAGAACATACATACAAACAAATAAAAACTCACAGAGTGGATTCCAATGATGACGCTAGCGCACTCTCTTACTTCCTTTACCCACACCGCGCGCAGCTACAATCCTGTGTGTCCCGTTTCGGTCTATCGCACGCTTCGTCGTACGTTCACAGTCGCATTACAGACACCCCTATATCATCGGATTTACAATTAAACAGCGCTTATTTTTATATTTGGTTGACAGATTAAACAAATATGTGAAAATATCTATGGACAAAATACCTGTTTGTACACTTGGCAGCTAAATGACTGACAGTATAAAAATAGGCAGCCCTATTACGTTTACATATCCTTTAGGCTTTGTACTTACGGTTAGTGTTAAAATTTTTTGGTTAAACTCGCCAGTATAAGTTATAAAAAAAGTCATTTTTTAATTAATAATTATAGTTTGGACAAAATTATATCGGGTACCTCTTCTTTTTATAATTTTTAACATACTAAATTACATATCAAATAATTTTTATCCATTAACCAGATCGGCGAAGGTCTTTTTTTATATCGGCTCCTCTACTATTATAGAGACGCGGCATTCCCATTTTAAAAATTAGTCAAGAGATTTTTTTAAAGTCAGTTTTGAGTAATTAAATCTCCAAAAAATAGTTCGACTTTCGTAAATATTAATGAAAATTCTTTGTCTATCTCATACTTTACTAGCTGAAGAATCTTCAAAGTAGCTAAGTCTCAAACCATTGGCGAAGATTTAATCTTAGCATCGATTAAAGATGCTGTAGAAGCGATGTTTGCAGAGAATGGGTTAAAGGAAATCGAACGCGTACTAATTTCCAATATTATTTTTGCGACTTATCTGAGCTACTTATTTTTGGTTGTTGTATTCGATGATACCTTTTGTATGCCTCACTTTAAGGTTGCCTACCAACTAAAATGTCAAGAACCCATTAATTGATCATGAGATAAGAGACAGAAAACTGCTTTAAAATATTGCTGGCTCATAAACTGTTAACAAAACTAGCTCTCAGCTGACAACTATCACTGCATGTTTGATGAAACTATAAAAGTTCTCTTTTCCTTGATACCTTGGTTAGACTTATGTAAGCTATGGTTGATATTAAAACTAAGTACCGCAATGTACTGTATATTGGACATATCAAACGTATTGCCTATTGCGATTAATAGGATACAATTACATCCTTCTTTAGGTTTTCTCTATGATTTTTTTTTTTAAAACACTTGATCTAATATTACTTTAAATAACCTTTAATTATTCAAATACAATTACTATTTTTTAAGTAATTTGTTACTTCCTGCAAAACATCTAATATTTTTAGAAATTTTACCAATATTTAATAGTATAATGAAATATTTTTTAATTATTTTTAGAAAGCTGAAGTAGAAAAGAAGTTGATCGGTGCCTTGAAAAATTTAGAGCTACTAACTGAGCTAGAGTCGACAAATGAAAGATTACAGGAAGATCAAAAACAAAAGTCGTCAGAGCTCTCTGCCCTACAGAAAGACAAGGAATTATTTAATATGGAAACCGAAGTAAGTACTCTTAATTGATATTTGTTTTTTGAATATGTTTTACAATTATATATTAAATTATTTTTATTGTTTTCTTTGCGCATTCTTTTAAGTTAGCAAGTTAAATACTATGTTTATATGCAAATAAGCCACAATTGATTGTAATAAACATTACATTTTACCTAAAACATTTGACGTTTTGATTACCACTCCGAAAATCGTTCTCAAAAAAGATTATTAAATAATTTAGTTGAAAAACGATGTGTGTAACGGTCAGAATTGTTGATAAGTTCATGTCAACAAAGTTATAGGCAACAGCCACATTTGACTGAAAAGGTGTGTGGGTGGATGTTTTGCCAAATGGAAAATTTAAACTCTGATTAAGTATCTAAGAGTTCAACGTGTGTAAAGTATTCCTGTTTAGTAAACGTGTGTTGTGTGTTGCATATGCATTGTGTATGATAGAGAATGATACTTTGCTTCTTCTTCCGCTATTGTTGGTGACTTCTTCTTTAAGTATTTTGCTTATATTTAAGTATTAAGTATGGTCGCCAGACTTTTTATCAAGTCTTCCTAACATGTTCTGTTGCTGCAGTCTTGGAAAAGAGGAAGAAGCTCTTCTAGAATATCCAGTTTTGTATTCTTAATGGGTAATGCTGCAAGTTTATTTCGTTTTTTATCGAGTTTTTCATGCTAGAAGTGATGAACGCCAAATACCACTATAGCTATCTTTAAGAAGAATGCAATCTGTATTCGGAATCTATATTTAGACAAACATTAGACGAGGTTCAAGATGGAATCAAAATTAACGGAACCTGCATAGACAACATGAGATACGCTGATAATACTTTCCTAATAGCAAGCAACGCACAAGAACTACAAAATATAATAAATGCAATAGTTCGTCATAACGAAATGTTCGGTTTACATCTAAATGTTTCCAAAACTAAAATACTAGTGTTTTAAGAGATGCCAACAAACGCACGTTGGTATGCCAAGGGACAAATAATAGAACAGATAACTTCCATAAAATATTTGGTAACAAATATCAACAGCCAGTGTAATCTAAAAATAAACGAGGCAACATTGCCTCGTTAGATGTAATTGTAATTCTCCGACCCCTCCGACACCACGACAGAAAATCTTTATTAGCACATAACAACGCATGGGATGTACATCTCCGCCCTTCGATGTTTTTTTTTTCATAACGTATACCTGGTTCATTTCTTATGTCTACACTACACTATCGGCGATGATGGTTGATCGTGTGATCGTTTATGATCGGCACATTATCCTCCAAGCGTCCACACAATCGTCCGTAATAGTATGTCGAACCACAAGCATCAAGCGATTCCCTTTGTTGCGTCTCCGAAAAACTGACAATTCACGGGTTTTAGGCGATTATAGGCAATGATGGGTATGTATAGTCGAGTATGACCTCTACACAGTCGTACTCGGGCTTACTTGTTTGTAATCGCCGATTATGAAGAGGGGTCTTTAAAGTACATAAACTCGGTAAAAATACACTGACCTTTATCAGGCGGTGCACTTGTATCGGTTTAAATAATGTGAACGATTTTTTGGGCTTGAATTAAAAATAAAAGCGCATTTCATTTAGATAAAAGATAAAACAAAAAAACATACTCTTATTGAAAATAAAAAATAATTCCTAATTAAATAAGAAATAATTCTTTATGCCCTACAGATATGATTCAAATATTTGACCTTTTACTGCTGAACAGTATCCCAATCTGTCATGAAAACTTCTGCGGACAGATGAAAAAGTTTCTGCTGTATCAGAATTGGAAACTTCTCGTATTAGATTTTTTAATTAATCCAAATTTTGGGCTCTAGCCTCAGGATGATCGTAGATGATGCTTTTTAATTGTCCCCAAGAAAAAAGAAGTCCATGGGTGTATCTGGAGATCACGCAGGCCACTTAATATCGCCTGTTCCACTGATAATTTGATTTGGGAAAGTATTGTTTTAATACTCCCTAATTATTGGAGCGTTGTGAACTGAACGGCCGTCTTGATGAAACCAAACATTCTCCAGATTTACATCAGGGAGATTGATAATAACGGGAAGAACATGATTCTGTAACAAGTCGAGGTATACTCTACTACTCCAGTTGCCCTCAATAAAATATGGACCTATTATGTGGTCTTCTAAAATGCCAGTCCAGACGTTAACTTTTTGAGGACGTTTAGTTCGGTAAACAACACTTCTGTGCTGGTTTTCCCGCACCCAATACCTCGTAACGGAATGATTGTGAAAGGAAATATCTTAGAACGCATCGTCATGTAGAAATAAGTTGCAACTTTCTATTTAAAACAAAGTATAAAACACATTGTAAATAATATACAAAAAGAAATATTCAAATACGTCAAACCTATCATTCTATGACACGTATTTATCTATTTTTATCTCTTCAGATAGAACGACTGATAAGACAGTATGTAGGTATGTATAGTCCAATCTCCTGTATTCATCTAAAGCCTAACTATGTATCCTACACTTTGTTAAAAATTTTTGCATATTCTGCAATGGATAATACACAAGAATACCAAAGGGTGTGGCTCATCAAAGTTATAAATGCATTACACGCTCCACGTCTTCTAACTTATTTTCGTGTCATAAACGTTGCCTTCAACCAGTTTGATGAACTTTATCAATAAAATACTCGTATCGAATATCTTATTATTTAGTTAAGAGCGTAGGCGCAAAATTTCGGGCCAGTGCCTTTTAAATGCAATAATTTTTTTCGAATCCTGAGAAAACTAACAAATATTTTTTTAAAATTTAAACGCATAATGAAAGATTACATTATTACCGAGGGCCGAAAGTCCCTTAGAATAAACAAAAAGTTTTGTGAATGAGATATTTGAAATTAAAAATCACACTCAATTTTCTCTGTTTTTTTCACCCCTGTAACTTATTAAAATAAACATTATAGAAGTTTTTAGGGACTTTCGGCACTCAGTAATAATGTATTCTTTCATTCTGCTTTTAAATTTTTCAAAAATATTGATTAGTTTTCTCAGGATTCGAAAAAAATGATTGCATTTAATAGCATTGGCCCGAAATTTTGCGCCGACGATCTTAACATAATATCCCGGTTGTTTTCGTTGAAAACTTTCAAAAATTCAACTGAAATTTCATTACATTCTGTTGCTTTAATTTTCTATTGTGTTATTTTTTGTTTGTTTTGGTCTTTTATTACCTTACTTTTCACGTATTCGTTGCTTGACGATAATCGATACAAATCGATTGTACGATAATCGTACTTCGATACGACGATAATCGGTTAAAGTTTTGATGTAAATTTTCCATGTCTGTAATTGTTCTTCCTTGTCTGCAATTTGTATATCAATCCATACGAAGTTGTCCAATATAAATTAGGTTGGTTGTTTGACCATTTTTAATATTTTTTATTTTTTTACCAATTAAACTTCAGTTTATAGAGTATACAAAATTGCATTAATTTTATTTTTAAAAATTTATTTTGCCGATGGCACCCATTTTTGTTTCATCGTGTTGATCATTTTCACGAAAAACATGACTTCGTTTTTTAGCCAATTATTTCATTTAGATTTCTCCTAGAACAATAGATCAAAAACCAAACTATTCGTAAAAGTATGCTCTAAAAAAGTGGCCCATAGCGTTATTTAATTACAAACTACCCTTAAGACCTTAAATGTACCTCAAAGTTTGAAAAGGTAAACTGATAAAATTCCGTTTTCAGCATTTTTTTAACAACATAAGGCAAGCTGATAATGGTTTATAATTGTTTTCTGGAAAAGACATACATACATATTTTAAATGAAAAAAATTTGAGCTTTGAGACCTGGAAGGTTAATACATTGCACCCCAAAATTAACCCATAATTTTAAAAACCCTGGTAAATCAAATAATTTTAATGTTTTGATTTTTGTGCTAATATATTATTGTTACCCCGGTATATTGTAAAATGTATCCTAAGAACGGTAAAAAACGCTGATGTTTTTACCATTTTTTGCAAACAAATTTAAAACCTGCTAATGCTGCTTCATTAAGTTGGGTTGGATTACATTGTGCTAAACGTTTGAAAGGGCTTTTTAAGTTTATAAAGTGTTTTTTCTTTGAAATTAACCACCAGCAGCAAGAAAATCGAAATTTATCAGAAAGTGAATGTTTTAGAATCGTTACTCTTCGCGAAAAAGTTCTACACTCAAGTAGAACTCGCTGAACGTTTTAACGTCACCCACTCAAAAATTTCAAGAGTGTTAACACATTTCTCTGTTACTGGAAGTAACTCGAGAAGAACCGGTCAAGGCCGTAGAAGGGTTACAACTCATAATCAAGACCGATTTTTGACACTTCGTAGACTGAGATAAAGGTTTGATACCAGTACTTCTCTTCAAAATGAATTTTTGGATCGTTATAACTTTAGAATCAGCGAAAATACGATTAGACGAAGACTTACCGAAAACGACCTACACCCTGGAAGGGCACCAATTGGCCCATTATTGACCAGAGACCATACAAGGCAAAGATTTCATTTTGCTCGTGAACATGTCGATTGGAATAATAACGATTGGGGAAGAATATTGTTCACCGATGAATCCAGGTACTGTCTTTTTTCCGATGACAGGAGAAATCGAGTTTATAGAAGGCCTGGGGAACGCTACGCACAGTGTAACACTGTAGGAACTGTACAGTATGGCAGCGGCTCGGTGATGGTGTGGGGTGGGATTCATTTAGAGGCTCCTACGGTATTAATTGGAATAGATCGCGGTCGGCTTACATCGCAGATGTATATAACAGACATTTTAGAAGAGCATGTCGTGCCATTTGCATCATTTATTGGGGATAATTTCATGCTTATACAAGATAATGCTAGGCCACACATGTCAAGAATTGTGCAGCAGTATCGTAAGGAGGTTGGAATTCCTGCTATGGATTGGCCTGCGAGAAGTCCTGACCTCAACCCAATAGAAGATGTTTGGGACATCATAGGCAGACGACTACGACAATTACCTAATGCACAAAACACATTAGTTGAACTGTTTTTGCGGTTGGTCGAAATTTGGGATCAAATTGATCAAGAAGAAATCAGAACGATTATTCTCAGTATCATAGATCGTTGTCAAGCAGTAATAAATGCCGGAAATGGCAATACTTGATACTAGTTCACAGTAGTTGTATTTTCTTCAACTTTAAAAATTTCAATTCCGTCACTAATTTATAATGTTAGTTTGTTTGTTAATTTCAATACATTTTTTGATTAAAAAAAGAAAAGTTTTATATTTAAGATGTTCTAAAACAACCATAAAGCAACAATTTTTTCATTATAACTCAAAATAAGAATTTTAAAATTATACGTTAATTTTGGAGCGCAGTGTATTTCTATAATGTAGTATCAATTTGTATTTATTGTGAAATTTGGTGAAAATACATTAATTTTTATTTCATTAGACAGTTTATTTGAATTTTAATTACTCTACCGCAAACGCTCAAATTAATGAATTTTTGCCATTTTCTCAGGCCTGTAACTCCTATATGCCTTAAGTCTACAACTTCAAATTTTTATCCTTTATTCTACTCATTAGGACCTAACATTCAGCCAAATTTAAAATTTTTACTTGCTTGTCCATCAGAGATATAAGGGTTCAAACTTTAAAATTTTTCAAAAAATTACATTTTTGAGATTTTTTTTGAAAAAATTGAGTTAGTCTCAAAGCTCAAACTTTTTTCATTTAAAGTATGTATGTATGTTTTTTCCAGAAAAAAATTACAAACCATTATCAGCTTGCCTTATTTTGTTAAAAAAATGCTGAAAACGGAATTTTATCAGTTTACCTTTTCAAACTTTGAGGTCAATTTAAGGCATTATCAGGTAGTTTGTAACGAAATAACCATTTTTTTTAGCATACATTTCCAAACAGTTTGGTTTTTGATTTATTGTTTTAGGTCAAACCTAAGTGAAAATATTGGCTAAAGAGTGAAGCCATGTTTTCCGTGAAAATGACCGACACGATTAAACAAAAATGGACGCCATCGGCAAAATAAATTTAAAAAAAATAAAATTAATGCAATTTTGTACTGTCTATAGACTGAAGTATAAAAGGTAGAAAAATAAAAAATATTAAAAATAGTCAAGCATCCACCTTTGGACCAAACCGTATTTTCTTGTAAGTATAAGTAAACTCTTTGATCTTTTTGTTCATGTTAAAGCTATCGTGTCTTCTTTCTGTCTCTCGTATTTCTTGCAATTTTTCTTGTAACCATTTGTCTTTAGCGTCTTTTACCTTTTTACTGACATTTCTATCTAATTCTTTGTATCGTTCGGGATTATTTTTATTTTCTCTTCTGCCCAAAAGCTGTAAACTGAAACTCGTCGTGTTTCCTCCGTTCGGACTAACCAAATACTTCTTTCGATGCGTCCAGGTTTGTCCTGTGGTGACTTTTTAATAGTAACTTCAACCAAGCATTACTTAGAATTAAGCTTATCTGGCAAAACTGTATTAGTCAATCACCTCGTTCATTTCTTGTTTCCACGAAATACTTGCCAACTGTCATTCTTTCGTCTCGCCTCTTTCTATTTTGGAGTTAAAAGGTATTGCAGTATACCATTTTGCCTTTATAATTCCAAAATACTATTATTCTGACTTTCCTTGAAACCGTTTGTGTATCCTTACTCTATTTTTTTTTCTTCTACATCGGAATTACGGATATCTTGTACCGCATCAATAGAGGATTTTGATATCTCAAAATGTCTTTTCGAGTTGACTTGTGTCGTTCTAATATATCTGTTAACATCTATGGTACCCATATTACAGACATTGTTTTATGTTTAATTCAGAGTATATTGGTATGAGAGATCAATATCTTTAATTATTTGTCTAATAGTCAAAAATTTTGCTGCAAGAGATCTTTCTAACATTTTAGGCACTCCTTTTGCATGTTCGTCTATACCTGACTCTCTACCACATTTAAACTCACTACACTACCGTCAATATCTCATATCAAACTGGCGACTCCCCTAATTATTCTAAACGAAAGTATGTTTCACCTCCCTTTGTTAACAGGACATGGTGATACTGTGATTCTTGAATCCGACATCTACTGTAGGCACGCTGCAATAGGTTCGGATTTGTAATTTTCTTGCGTGAGTCTGTACATAACAGGTTACGATGCGACGTGGAGATAAATAATTATTTTGATTTAACAATGGGTAAAAGACGATGCAAATGGATTCCTCGTATATTATTGACAATCTTTATTATATTACATATACTATTTTTTATTAATTTTTGACCAATTAAGTTCACCGGGGATATTTGTTACAGATACTCAAAAAAAGTGTGATGGATGCATGTCGAGAAAAAGATGGCATAAAACATGAACTAGCATTAGTGATGCAGGAGAAGGAAGAATTAAAGAAGAATTCGGAGGAATTATCATACAAACTTTTGGACCTGGAAAGGCAACTAACCAAAGGTATTTTAATACTTCAAAAGAAAAAACCTTGAAATTTCGTTTAAATTCACAGAAATCTATTTTTTAATGTTTTTGTTCCACTTAAGCTTTTCTTGCACGTCAATCAAGATTTACGTAAAAATTGTATATGTGAAACAAAGATGTTGAACAATATCTAACAAAAAGAAACCAGAAAATTTGTATATTTAAATAAATAAGAATTAAGGCCCTAAATATATTTAACCAGATAATTAGTACGTTATTTTTGAGTGTTTTGTTCCATTTATAGTATCTTAAGCTAGTTTCAACGTTTCTTTAGTTAGTTTCAGTATTTTAAAATATTTTTTATTATGCATATTTCATAGATAATAACTATATAAATGTGTGGGAATCCATCTCATTCCTCTTTAAGTTCGGAATCTCATTTTCGTAGTTCTCTCTAATTTGGAACCCAAATTCATTTTTCGCGTTTATATCGCCAGCCTTATTTTCCTGTGTATTTTCAAAATTTCGTCAAGGGAATTTATTTGTTGGTAAAGAAAATGCTAAAATACAATTAACTAATCATACATTTTGTTTCAGAGCAATCTGATCTACAGAGAAAGATTAAAGAAATTGTTACTAAATCGTTAGAAAGCAGTGAAGACATTCTTAGGCACGCAATCGACGAGATTGACAATCCAGCTTTGACTGCACTTACCTGTTCTTCTGATTACTTAAGAAGTTTAACGGAAGGATGCAAGAGCTCATTAGAAGAAAGTACGAAGATTACGAATAATGATTACGTTAGTATTGTAACTGTGGCGAACAGAATTGCACATAGACATGCCACATATATTTTACAAGGAAGGGCTACTTGCAATACGAGTCCCGATATATCTTTTGGAGAAAGTAAGTTATACTTATATAGGTTATATTTGTATTGATTATTTTAGTAATTGGTCATCTATGTACAATTTCGAATGGGTCTTGTAAACAGCGAACGCTTATATTAGTATAAATATAACACTAAAACACTGAACACTTTGTTTTCAAAACTTCCACAACATTTATTTAATATCTTATTACTACAGCTGTTTCGGCACAGTTCTTTTCTCAAGTGTTCTATTTTTGGTATGTGTTTACACTTTATAGTCTTTAACTGAATAGCTTGCGGGTGGGAGAACTGTTTGTTTCAAGTTAGTTATTCAGAATTATTTCTGTTTGGCCTTTTTTTAATGTGAATAATTAGAAATTCGTCATTACAAGAATGATTATGATCTAGAAGGTGAAGTGCGTATGTAGAATCTTTTTTTCTATTATTGAAAACCCTTTTATGTTCTGCTATACGTTTGTTAAAAATTCTACCAGTTTGGTCGATGTAAGTTTTTGGATAGACACCACATTTAAATTTGTAAACACTACTATGTAAGTACATTTTATTTTAGCTCTTGTTGTTTTTAATATATTTGATTAAGTTGTTGTTTGTTCTAAACGCTTGTGTTATTCCTTTCCTTTTTTATGTGTTTAGCTATTTTTGTTGATATCTTGCCTGTATATGTAACCGGCCAGTTTTTTCTCTGGTAGTGGAAATAATAATTTCAGGGCTTTCTAGAGACATTATGGATCCATATTTGTACAAAGATATAAGTGGAATATTTGCTCTTCATTATGACTTCAAAAAAGCTCTCAACAGTTGTGCAAAACAACACTGATAACCTGATATACCTGACAATCGTTTTGTCTTTGTATTAAGTGTTACTTATTCATCAAAATAAATCCCTAATGAAAATCTTGTTTTTTACTTAAATGGAAGTTTTTAACATCCTCGAATTTTAATGAGCAGAAGTTACACAAACACGAACAACATACACAAATCTATCTAGAATAACGGAGTCAATTGTTGCAAAATTACTAATATTCACTTTGCTAAATCCTCTTTGCATAGGGAAGTGTACTTATTTTATAAGATAATAAAACCAAAGCTTATGATAAAATGAAGTATGTTTGTTTGTCTTAACCTTTTCTAAGACTCCTTAATTTTGTGGACTAATATTACTTGTTATCAATACATTATATGGTGTAAATAAATGAATGTTTATTGTCGGTAATTCGTTTTAAAGTTCTATTTTATTTATGTTTGTTTACTATTACATTATAATATTGGCTAGGAGCACGTGTGCTTGGTTGTATAGTAATTTCCAGACTCTTCTAGTCTGTCAAAAAGTAACTAACTTCGCAAAAAAATAATGACTAAGTTCACTAGACAGTTCGGACTGGGATTAGCGAACCGACTATACCTGTTTGATTTTATTCGCCATTACTGAATATTGGGTGACACAATATAGTATATTTTGTGTTGCCTGCCTTAACAAGGATATAAAAACACTGAAAGCGAAGCATAAGCGAAGAGATGCGAGCACTTTTAGTCTGAATAAGAATTTATTCTTATCCCTTCTTATCAATATCTGTTGTGACATGTATGTCTCGACAATGGGGAAAAGGATAAAAGAATAAGTAGTCGCATCCATAATACTACGATAAAAAGTATACACGAATTTGGAAATAATCTTATAGGCAGAGGTTTTTTTTATAGAATTAATAAGTGTGTTTCCTTATTGTATATAATATATAACAAGCGAGTCTTCTACAGCTGGCGCCGCTTCTCGCATCCTAATTTCCAGCGTTTTCTGTCGAAGCAATCTTCAGTTGTTAGATCTCTGGCGGTCGTTGCATCGTCGACATCGTCTTGATCTACCTCGTTTTCCGGCATCTATTTTCAGGCATTCTCTGAAGGTGTCCATACCAGTTCAGTCTTTTGGCTTCGATTGTGTGTATTATGTCTAGATCGATTTCCATTTCTCTCCGAATATCTTCGTTTCTCACCCTATCAAGTCTAGTGAGCTGGCAACATCGTCTCCAGTAGTTCATTTCCATGGCCTTAATTTTTGATTTGTTTCTTTGGTTTATTTCCCAGAGTTCGGCGCCGTTCAGTCCAATACTTTCTATTATTGTTTTATAAATTCTTCTTTTATTTTCTTTTGTTATTTTTTTATTCCATAATAGTCCGTGTAGCTGTCTGGTGGCTGATCTTGCTTGGCCAATCCTGGAATGTATTTCTCGCTACTTCTGCTTTTGATGTTATTTGGACTCCCAAGTACTTAAAATTGTCTGTTGGTTTTATAGTTCCCATTTCGATTTGTAGGCTTTCTGGTTTTTCTCCTACAACTAAGTACTCAGTTTTTTGTATATTAATTGTGAGGCCCCATTTGGTGTACTCATCTTCCAGTTTTCTAAGCATGTAGCTTATATCACTCTCGTCTTCAGCTAGAATGGCTTGGTCGTCAGCGAAATGTATCGTGTACAATCTATCATCTCCGATTGGGATGCCCATATTGCAGCACTTCCTTCTCCACATTGAGAGTGCCTCATTTAGATATATTTTGAAGAGTGTAGGTGCTATGCAGCAGCCTTGCTTTAGGCCCTTACTAATAGGAATTTCTCTAGTTAATCTATTTTCAGTTTTAATGTTTGCCGTCATATTTTTGTAGAGCTGTTGTACTGCTTGTATATTTTTTTTGCTTATTCCTTGTTTTTCCATTGCTACCCAAAGCATTGAAAGTGGTACACTATCGTATGCCTTTGTCAGATCTATAAAGACTATATGAGTTGAAAGGTTGTGGGCTAATCTTTTCTCGATAACTTGGTTTAGAGAGAATATACTGTCCATACAGGATCTGCCTGCACGAAAGCCATTCTGTTCTTCTACATCTGTCATCTCTTTTTCAATTTTATTTTTTATTGTTTTTTCATACAGTCTTGAGAGTGAATTTATGACACTTAGCCCCCTATAGTTTGAACAATTCTTTCTATCTCCTTTTTTTATATATGTTGTTAATATGCGCTTTTGTCCACTCCTGTGGTAAATCGTGTCCATTATAGAATAAGGTGAAGACATACGCCAGTAATTCCCGTAATACTTGTGGGCTATGTCTCCTTATTGTTTCTAAATAACTAATCAACAATTTCTTAATTACAGAAGTGGCCCAGGTATGTAAAGATTTGGGAAAAATAGTGTTGAAACTTCTTATTTCATTAAAACAAAATGAAGACTCTAAACCTACAGCTAATGAAGCCAAACAAAAATTAGAGGAATTAGCCGCTCTAGCAGATAGCATAGGTGCTTCCCTTTTAGGCGAAAAAGCTGAGACCTTAGTAGATATGCTCGAAGATGAGATGAGTGCTATGGACAAAGCAATCGAAGAAGCAGCAAATAGAATACAGGTAATTTTAAGTAGGTTAACGCAATAAAGACCAATAAACACTCTTAAAATATTATTTATTTCCAATGCTCTTATAATAGGGTATAAGGTGAGCGAGAAGAAGAAGAAGAAATATTATTTAAAAGTATCGTATTCAATTATTTATATATTTTATAACCCATTTAGAATTAGAAGAAAGCTCATTGTTATTCGTAACAGCTTGCCATATGAGAAATTCTATTGATTTATTCTTCTTCTTAAAGTACCTTCTCCATTACTGAAGGTTGGCTATAACTACAGCAAATTGCTCTCTGTCTTGAGCTGTTCTTACTATCGAATGTGAGTCCATACCTGTCCAGTCTCTTACATTCTTCAATCAGGAGCATTTTCTTCTTCCTGGACCTCTTCTTCCTTCCACTTTCCCTTCCATTATAAGTCGTAGGAAGTTGTATTTTTCTCCTCTGTAAATATGTCCTAGATAACTCGTTTTTCTGTTTTTTACAATATTTAGGAGTTATCTCTCAGTACCCATTCTTCTTAGCACCTCGTTGTTGGTCACGTGCTCTGTCCAAGAGATCTTTAGCATCGTTCGAAAAACCCACCCAATAAATAAACGTTTTTACAAATCGGTATCGGATATCCAACGATAACGTAGAGTTTATTAGTATTTTTTTCATTCGTTGAATTGCGGACCTAGCATATTCTATACGAGCAGGTATTGATTTGTAGACTCCGTAAATGAGAATTAATTTCGTATACCTTTGATGAAGTGAAACATTGTTAAAACAATAATTTTATTAAAAAAAAACACAAACAAACAAAACTTATCTCTTGATGACGGGCCTGTTAATTTTTGCTGTTGAAGGTCTTGAAAACGGAGAATTTGAGACCAGCTAAACTGAAATTGGTTCTTAATTTGGTTGATAATTTCTAAAATTTCATTTATTTTTAAAATATTTTAATGTTATAAACAATTGATATTAAAAAAATAAATTTTAATAAATTTAAGTTTCTTCAAACAAATGTTAAGATAATAATCTTTCGAAATGATTTTTCTCGTATGTGACAAAATAAATATAAATTTACTCTATGGGTAGGGCATTTAGGAAACCAAATTTTGTATCAGAGATATTCTGCCCCTTCTTCTTCTTGTGGGGCGGCCTATCTGTTACGGATGTTGGCTACTAGCACGGCAATTCTAACTTTATTGACCGCAGCTCGAAATAGTCCTGAAGTGGTAAAGGAAAACCATTTACGTAAGTTCTGGAGCCAAGATATTCTTCTTCTTCCTGGTCCTATCTTTCCGTAGACCTTTCCGTGTAATATAAGTTGCAGCAGGTTATATCTATGATCGTTTCGCACTATATGTCCAAGATATTCTAGCTTGCGCTGTTTCACTGTGGATATAATTTCACATTTTTGATCCATCCGACGTAGAACCTTAATGTTTGATATTCGGTCCACCCAGGATATTCTCAGTATCCGTCTATAACACCACATTTCAAACGCCTCGAGTTTTCCCATGGATGCCTTGGTTAGTATCCCTGATTCAACCCCATAGAGCAGCACTGTAAACACGTAGCATCTCAAGAAACGGATTTTTGTTTTAAGGGTAGGTCGTCGCTCTTAAATATCTTACTCATTCTGACAAACGCTGACCAGGCTTTTCCAATTTTTTGTTTTATCTCAACTGAGTGGTCCTCTTGGTCGTTTATGGTGGCTCCTAAATAGCAGTAACGGGGCACTTGGAGTATTTTTGGCTGATCTACCAGTAATTGACTAGGTGGAATATGTTTCTTACTGATGACCATGTACTTTGTTTTCTTGATGTTAAAATCAAGCCCGTATTCTTGATTGATTATCCACAATTGCGTTACTAGTGTCTGTATACCTTCTAAACTGTCTGCAAAGAGAATGTTGTCGTCTGCATATCTGATGTTATTCAGGCGCTCACCATTTATGAGAATACCCCCTTCGACATGCTCTAAGACCTGGCTCATGACGTGTTCCGAATAGACGTTAAATAATAGGGGAGAGAGTATGCAGCCCCGTCGTAATCCTCTCTTTATTGAAACTTCCTCTGTTAGTTGGTCTTTCACCCAAATGGTTGCTGATTGGTTGTAGTATATATTCTCGAATGCTCTCGATGTTACTCGAAGGTCTTTGAGTATCTTATCCATGAGCTTATCGTGCTTGATTCTGTCGAAAGCTTTCTGGTAGCTTTTCCTGAACCGCGAACAAGGCTTCTCTTGTACCAAACGCATTCCTGAATCCAAACTGCGTTCGTGAGATCTGTTACTCTCATTTCTGATAAATTCTTCTGTGTATTATTTTTAAGGTCTTAAGAATGTGGCCCAATAGACTGATAATACGATGCTCTTCGCATTTTTTTACATTAGGATTTTTAGGTATAGCGATAAATGTAGATTTTAACCAGCTGTCTGGGATTTTTCATAGATTTCATTTAACGTTGTCGTAAACCATTTTACTCCTTCGTCTCCCATGATTTGTAGAAATTCTGAATGAAAGTTGTCGGGCCCTGGTGCTTTGCCTGCTTTGGTTGCTTTAATTGCGGCTTTGACTTCGCCTTGAGTGATTGGTGGTCCTGTGTCGTATTCCATAAATATCTGGTTGTTATCTCTGTCGTCATCGAATGTCTTCTCAACGTATCTCTTTCATATATTCTTTGTTTGTTCAATGTCTATTACTGGGTAGCCATGGTCATCAGTCATATGTCCTGATCTCTTGGGTTTGTACATTCCTGCTGCCTCTTTTACCTTCTTGTGGAGATTAAACGAGTCGTGTCTATTTTCCAATGATTCTATTTCTCTGCATTGATCTTCCAACCATTTGTTTTTGGTTTCTCTAATAGTTTTTGTTATTTCTTTGTCAATTCGTTTATACTCCCACGTGTCTCCGTTTTTAGCTCTTCTTCTATTCTCCATCATATTTAGGATTTTATCAGTAATCCACTCTCTCTTTTTAACCGTTGTTGGGCGAAGATATTTATCTAGGATTGTCTGGTTGATTTGTTCTAGTTTTGCCATTTCGTTATCCGGTTCATTAGCCTTGTCTGTATTTTTAATTCTTTTTTTATATAGGTTTGTATCTGGTGCCTGGTGTCTTCATTTTTTAATGGTCCTAAATCGTATTTTATTGCTTTTGTACTCTCTATCTTCATCAGCTTTAGTCTGATGTTAACTACCAGTGGGTTTTGGTCCGACCCATATAATATCCCATATATAATCTCCTAGCTGGTAATTTAAAGATAGTGTTGGTGATTACCAGTTGTTCTTCCACAGCGAAGGTGATCAGGCGATCTTCGCGTTCGTTTCGTTCCCCCAATCCAAAGGGTCCTATGGTTTCTCCACATCTACCCTTTCTCACTTTGGCATTTAAGTCTCCTGTAAATAAGCATTTTTATTTCGTTTTTGTGAAGTTTTTACAGAACACTCATTAGTTCCGAATAAAAAATTTCGATCTCTTCGTCTAATTTGTCTGCAGTAGGTGCATATACCTGGATTATATTGGGACGAAGTTGTGACGTATTTAGAGATGATCTTATTCACTATGATACCAACTCCGTTAATATGTAGGTCTTCGCTATTTCCGGAGTAATAAATCTGGTGGTACTGTGCACTGTCCAGATCCAGTCCAGGGCTTTTCACTTACACCCATTATGTCGATAGCAACTCTATCCATTTCCTTAATTGCATTGTGTGTCTTGCCCTCATCGTACATTGTTCTCACATTCCACGTAGCGATTGTAATTGTTGAGCTGTGGAGTTTTAAAGAACAGGAATTTCTCTGGCTGACGACCTGGGGAGCCCTGTTATCCTTGTTATATCTCCCTCTGTCGGACCTTAGTATCCCAGAACTATGGTAGTAAACTGTGACGTATTGATACTGATACTTACCAAGCTAAGGGACTAGGGATGTTTAATGAGGTAGTTTCCCCTTGCTTTTCTCATCGCAGTGTAGGAGTCATTAAAACTGCTTCAGTTATGCCTTCTATTGCCCAATGATAAGCCGGTCCAGGATCCATTCCTATACGCCACAACTTTGTACTGAAAACGCTGCTTCCTTCAGCTTCACTGCTGATTTAATGGCGGCAATACTCGCCATGTCACAAAACTTTCCTTGGCTTATTGTAGCATTTTATAAGGTATTATTTCCTAAGGCATACCCACTACACTCTCCAGTATCGCCGCTGCTTGGTCGGGGATTGCTTATTTAGTATATTTGCAACTAACCTTCAGATCTGAAGACCATCCACTATCCGCCACCTGTGACCCCGCTGCTAGCCTGCAGCTTAACTTCAGCTCCACTTCGCTGTATATGGATTTCAGAATTTTATATATACTATAATACTCTCTCGCCGTGATATGAAGTCACACTAGAATGACTTGTATTTATGAGAATGTGCTTTTTTATACGCTTTTTATACTGTGGTTTTGTATACTGTTACCTTATGTCTTCGATGTTTACCATCATGCATCTATATATGCCCTAGATATAATAACTGCTTTATTTTATTTCAGGATATGCTTACCACATCTAGAGCTGCTGATTCTGGTATTAAATTAGAAGTTAATGAAAAAATTCTGGACTCGTGTACAAAATTGATGCAAGCTATAAGGATATTAGTTCAAAAATCAAAACTTTTACAAGGTGAAATTGTTGCTCAAGGGAGGGTAAGAAGTTTTGTTTGTTAATTTACCCATCTAAAATTATTTTTTCTTATTCACAAATTTTATTAATTCACTTATGACAGCTATCTCTGCACCAGCAGATAATAATATATCCCAAGTTAGTTATTATAAATTGTCAGTATAGCATATCTAATCGGTAGTAAACTCAGATAATTGATATTAATTAAAGAGGTTAGATACTTGGTAAAATGTTCCTGCTCTTATATACGATAATTAAAACAAACTTAGTAGATTTATGAAACCCAGATCCGTGAGGATACTCAATTTGGATTCTGTTAAGGCATTGGTACAAGAGAAGCTGTCTGTGCATTTTTATGTATTAATCTAGGGATGCTTAAATATTAACCAAAATATGAACGTATGTTTAATAGATTATAATAAGGCGTTTGATAAAGTCATTCACAAACAGATTATGGAAGTTTTGAAATCGAAACAAGCAGGCTAATTGAGGTCATAAAACATCTTTATTATATTGTTCTGAAACTATTTTCTTGTGGCATTTTAAATGAATTACTATTTAACTGGGAATAAGCCACAATTAAAGATAAAAATACGTTTATTGACGTTTTAATTTCCACTTCGGAAACGTTCTCAAAATACAAATGAAACGTCAATAAACGTATTTTTATCTTTAATTGTGGCTTATTCCCAGTTAAACAGTAATTAATATTTATTATAAGCAACGTGCAATAGTGTGCATTAATTAAAACGCATCCAAAGAAATCCAAATGAAAATAGGCGTGCGACAGGGCTGTCACCACCAGCATGTAATTCGCGTTGTTTCCTCTTGCATATTGCCACTAAGAACTATGATGGCCTAAATATAGCATATTTATTATTATATTTTTGTTTACGTTTTTTGACTAATGTCAATGTAAATTTGTATATTACCATGTATTTTAGGGTACAGCTAGTGCAAAAGAGTTTTACAAAAGAAATCATCAATGGACCGATGGATTTATTTCAGCTGCTAAGGCTGTTGCTGTAGCAGCAAAACTTTTATTGTAAGTATTACTTATAATAAAAATTATCAAACATTTTTTTTTTTGTATAAAAATCAAGAGGTTGTATCTGACTGCACAAATAATATCATATAAAATAAATAATAATACATAAAACAGAAGTGTAATAATACGCATCTGTAAGTTATTTGAAGATTTAGATTGAATGAATGAATTTTTGAAGCGAAGCTTCTATATTGGGGTTGCATTACTTTTTCTAGCGTCACGTGGAGGCGTCGCGGGTATCGTGACGATAAGGCGTCACGGGTAGCGTCACGATATAGCGTCAAGATATACCGGTTATTGAACATCTGTTGAATACAACAATATTAAATCATCTGTTTAAATTTTTATGACACTTCTCGTTTTGGCACATTCATACAATCAATCACCTCTATATTTTCTCCTGATAAACTAATTCTGTAAGTAGTTACAGTTTCCATCTTTAAAAAGATGTATTCACTACAGGGTACTGTGTACAGCTGGAAAAACTAGCAGGCTACCGCTGATAGTTAAAGTTTCGGATTTCTGCGTGTTCATTGGATAAATTGTTATACCTAATACTCGAATTGCATCGTTGTATTTATCAGTTATTTGAGTGATCGCATTGAAATATTAGATATATTCTTCAGTCCTACCTAGGGTAGTGAAAAAATAGTTCTGTAATTGTAGTTTGAACTTTAGTGTTCTTGCATTACTGGGCGCAAACAATAATACTGCATCCATTTTTTGAACAACACTGAGCTGAAAAAGGAATCTGATTTCAAATAGTACTACGCTTACTATTGAAGGTTTCAATGTGAAACTGTCATTACTAGCCTAAAAATAAATGTGTTATTCCAGATATTTGTTGTGAAAATGTCCCATAATCATCTCAGAAAAAACACACTACTGCCGAAACTAATTACAGATTAAGATTACATAGAATACAACCTCTTTTGGAGACTTCCAATGTCATGGAAAAAGCAATTAGTGTGGATGTCCATTTGACTCCCCCGAATCACAAATTCTAACTGACGAAAATATTAGAAGAATTATTGATAATTTTAAATACAATTAGTTTTGTTCAAAAGCTGGAGCTGTTTTGGATCAGGGGGGAAGTGAAATAAGAATCGATGAGTCGTGAACGAACTTCCTTCTAATATTCTGCCAGGTGATTTTCCAGCTCAACATGAGCCTTCTGATTCTCATGTTGAAATTGGAATAAGACTGACCTTCCCACTAATAAAAGTTTATCATATTTAATAAGACAGCAGCAGTGAATGGAAATTACACTTTCCTTCTTTTTATTCTCGCCCGTTAACACCTTGGCAGATATTTGAATTTTTTTTAACGCCGATTTACTTACGCATATATTCAGGGAAACGGTCCGCTGTCCTTCTCTGGCAGGACTTCAACTAGAATTTAGTGTTCATGAACTAAAACCCTTCGTGAGAATATTGTTAGTGAGCTGGTATAATGCAAATCTAAGGAGATGAATGAATTAAGAAGAATCAGATGATGCCGTAATATATTCGAGACCATTAAAAGATTTCTTCACTTCAATGACAATTTAGCTATTGATCCAATAGATCGGACTTACAATATACGTCCATATCTTCAAATGTTAAAAAAATGCTGATTTCGTCGTTTGGGAAACAGAATCAAGCATAGACGAAACAATGATTCCGTCGCCCATAATATGGGCGCCGGAATGAAGCAGCACATAAACGGAAAACCAATTCGCTTTGGATACAAGTGTTGGTGGTAAAATATGAAATCTGATAATTTAATTGACTTTCAGGCGTATCAAGTGGCCAAAGGACAAGGTATTTATAAAAAAGAATTTGGGTTAGGAAGTGGTATAATCCTGAAATTTTCGGAGAATTTGCCAACATTTGAATGTGCAAAGTCATGCCCCATATTATTTATACAGATAACAGTTCACTTCCTTCAAGTTGGGAAAACAAATGAATAAAGGTGGAATAGTTGTGGTTTATACCACTCAACAATAATTATAAAATTTATACTATTTTTGACTGTTTTACTTAATTTTTGTCCTGTACTCTTGCTGAATAAATTTGTTTTTGATTTGTGCATTTATTTTATAACGTAAGTGCCCAGTGTTGCGTTTTTCCAACATCATTTAAAAAAAAATGGTGGGGGTATTTGCGATAAAATCTTAATTTTTACCCATTTTTGATCCTTTTTGTAAAAAAAAATGTTCTGGGCATGAATGGTTTAAAATAATTTCATATAAATACAATTTCGTATTTTTACCATTATCAATTCGACTTGTATTAAAGTTCGATAACAAGAGTTATTAGTAAAAATTTTGTTTTATACAAAATGTCGATACTAACTATAATTCGTAATTTGGAGTTTTTTAAATGTTTGATAATTTTTTAATTAATCAATTCCCTTCAAACTATTCTCAAATTTTATTTTTAAACATCCTATTTAGTTTATTAATTCACACAAAAAATACTGTCTTTATTACACATTGTTTATCACTTGTCTTGTTTTTTATTTTTCCCCAAGAATTACAATTCAGCAAGTCTCTTGAAAATTGGATTCATCGTGTGTTGAGTTTTTTATAAACAATTGACAATAATAAAAAAATCATTGGTACATTATGTGTCTGACATAGGAACAAAAATTTGTACCACAAAAAATTTTACTTGAAGAAAACGTCATTACTATTTATACTGGCATTGTATTAATTTTTAAAATTAGTTGTTAAAAAATTCAGTTTAAACGATACTCAACTTTTATTTTTAAACATCTTATTTAGTTTATATAATAATTAAATTAATATTTATTTAATTATACTTTATTATTAATTTAATATTTAGTCTGACTTTGACGGGTCTATCAGACGCAAACAACGTATGCTTGAAAGTAATGCAGACGAAATATACAGCGTAAATTTGTTGACAAGTTAGCAGGTGATGTTAGGAGCAAACATAATAATTTATCGAATTTGTTTCAAATATAAATAATAAATAAATAATTAAAATACTTTAGTAACTTTATTACAGTACCGCCTACTGTACCACCTTTTTTATTATTTATGTCTTCATTATATGATTAAATGATGTTCTTGTTAACTAATATTTTATATTTTAGAACAGCAGCTGATAAAGTAGTTCAATCTAACGGCAAGTTGGAACAATTAGTGGTAGCGGCTCAAGAAATAGCTGCCTCCACAGCTCAATTAGTAGTAGCCAGTCGAGTTAAAGCAGATAGAAATAGCAATAACTTGCAACAGTTGACGCAGGCGTCTAAAGGAGTTACCACAGCAACAGGAACTGTTGTTGCCACTGTTAAAGATTGCAGCGAACTAATTGATGAGTCAGGTATAAATATTTCAAAATTGATTTTTTATTCTTGAGGCGAATACTCATCAATTAAAGTGGATATTTCTATTCTTCTTATTTTTTTATTTATTTGCCTTACAAAATATTCCGATTGAATTGTAATGGATACGGCCCTTAAAAAAAATTATAGCAAATGCTTTTTACATGCTACTTTTTCTTTCTTGACTTTTTTTTTTACTTTTCAGTAAATAAAAATCCGCTTTAAAATATAAGTTTTATCGACTTTATCACTGATGTTACAGTACGACTTAGTTTAGTTAAAATAAAATTTAGTTTAGTAATATGCCTTTAAGACGTTTAAAGACTGTGCAAGTTGGATAGCTAGTGCATTGGGGATAGGAAGGTTTGTCTCAATTGGAAATCACTATGCGACTAAATGTGTGTCAGAGTGTTGTAAGCAGGGCATGGAATAGCTTTTTAGAGACAGGATTTGCAGCATATACATATGGATGAGGACGAGAAAGAGCCATAACTTATGCTGAAGATCATTTCATAGTCCTCACGGCAAGAAGAAACAGGGGTAGAAGAAACATATACTTACAGCATCAATGATTAATAACTTCTTTTCAGGTCAGCTACTGATGTGTGATCTCTAGTCAAACTATCAGAAGACGGTTGCATGTATGTTAAATGAGAGTAAGAAGACGCGCTACACACCCATGATTGACGGCGGAGCAATGTGCACTCGTATATCGTTGGGCTATGGAACACAGTCAATGGGGCTTTTAAGACTGGGAGCATTACTTGGGAAGCATATGTATAACGGACGCACTGACTTATTAATTTTAATTAATGAAACAGTGATGACTGTAAGATATCGTGATGGGGTCATAGAGCCAAAAATAGCGCCATTTGGTGGTGCTAGAGGTTACAGATTTGTTTTTATCCACAATAATGCCGGTCGTCACCGCTCGAGAATTATGAGCAAATGGATAAATTATCATGAAATTACAAGAATAGAGTACCCACCGTGTTCTCCGAATATAAATTGCATTTGATACGTTTGCGCAGAAATGTCATAACTTCAACTTCTAACTTCAACTCTGACCTCAAACTTTAAAACAACTAGTTCATGAATTGCAAACAATTTGGGAACAAATACCTCAAAATTTTATTAATAATTTAATAATGTCATTCTCAAACTGAGTAACAGCATTAAAAATTGAGTGAATAAAATCAAAGCTTGTATAATGTAATGTTCATGTAATATTTAACTTATAACTTAAGCATAGAAGGCCGTGTATGTTAAAAAACAACATTTGGTACCTGGTAAATGTAAAACTTTTTAAGTTACAAGTTCATGAACATAAATAACTGATTAAGTGTTAACGGACGAAGTTGGTTAGTTGTTTTTTGGTAACACACAAAAACTCGTATAATTGTTAGCACGCAAATTATTTTAAATTATTAACTTGTTATTTCTAATTTTTATTTCAGCCAGTATTTGAGATAAACGTTTTTTTTTATGCAAACCGTCTCTTGTAAATTGGTCGTACTACTGCCATTCGGCTTATTGTACATCTTCCATTTCCTCATGATACCCATTCCAGGATTCTGAAACCCTGTACCAACTTGTACAGGACTAGAAATTAACTACCATATGTGTTTGGAGTCACTTGATAATCTCCGAAAAGTGTTTACCCTCTGCTATCTAATGACCCGCAGCCATTCAAGATGTGGTGGACTGTTTCAACTCCTCTGCTACAGACTCTGTACCTGAAGTCTCCATGAAAGAGTCACATTGTATGCAGGTGTCCTTTATCCGGCACATGTTCAGTAAAGAAGCCTGTTATGACTCTGAGCTGATTCCTGCTTATTTTCTGCAGTACTTCGAGCCTATTAGCTCATGTCCGTACAATATACATTTTATACTGTGTTTGGCCGGGAATGTATTCACAGTGAGAGTTCTTCCGAGAGAGTTTTTTCCTGTCATGGATGATGCTTTTTACCACGAGTGGCTCTGGACCGAAGTGTTTGGTAGCTGATGCTCTTCTGACAAGTTCATTAGGTCTTCCATTGCCGTGTACTCCCTGGTGAGCTGAAACCTATACTAGTGTGACACTCTTATGTTCCGCCAATCTTTCGAGTTCATCTCAGCATCCCAACACTAGCCTAAAGTCCATCTTAGGGATTATAAGCACACCATGGCTGCTTGGCTATGCAAAAATGTCTGCCTTAAATACAGAGGTATATTTTCCTAGTGGAATGGATATGTTTAAAGTTCCACCACTACTAAATTTCCAGCACCTGGCCCTTCTGAAGTTTTAAACCAGTCTCTATACCAGATATAGCACTGCAGTTTATTTCGAGTGTTTCCTCTGCCCATCCCTCCGATTGGCAAGAGTATGTCCATTTTGGGAAATTTCTTTAGGCCTGTATCTGGGTACCATATGGTCAAAAATCATCATCAATTCGTTATATCTGATTTACTATGTTACTATGTCCTGAGCTATAAGTAAGAACAGGGAGTTCTCCCTGTTCTTACTTATGGTTCCCAAACGTGGACATTTACAAAAGCAAACATGGACAAAATCATAAAAACCCAAAGAGCAATGGAAAGACAAATGTTGCATATAAGACTAATGGATAAAAAGAGAAACGAGTGGATAAGAGAGAAAACAAAAGTAAGGAATGTTAGACAAGAAGTTGCAAAATTGAAATGGAGATTTGCCGGACACAGTATAAGACAAAAAGAAGACCGATGGAACAAAATTCTTATAAGTTGGAGACCGTGGGAATATAAACGAAACAGAGGAAGGCCCCAAATGAGATGGCAGATGATATCATGAAGCACGTGGGCTCTAGGTGGATGACTGTAGCTACAGACAGAGAAGAATGGAAAAGGATTTAGGAGGCCTATGTCCAAAGATGGAGCGAAAAAGGCTAATTAGATAGATTGATAGATGTGCTGATCTAACCTTGCTCAGTAGGAATTCCACAACTACCGTTGGTGTGCTGCTCATAGCTCTTTTAATTTCGAAGGCATGCCATTTTTTGCACCTGGCTTAGTTTGAGGATGGCAGTTTTCACCACCTTTGCCCAACATACCACTGATGCGTATAAAAATGTTGCTTTTACCTCCATGTGATAAATTAAGTATAACATACTTAATTTAATGCCTGGCTTTAAACTAAACCTTTTTCCTTGAGTGCGCCTCCACGGCAACGGCCATTTGCTGAAGTATTTTTAATAATGTTTGAACTAAAAAGAAAGATATAATACTTATGTCTTACTTCATTTAAAAACCCAATGACATTTGTTTAAATGTTAAATTTATACTTTAACGATATGCTGTTGCTTACGTCATTGCCATAACTGCTTTTTAAATAGCAATGTTTTTATGGTAGAAAATTACAATGGTCTTTATACAGGACTGTTGAACGCAAAAATTATAAATATGTATTGATAGCTTTTGACATCAGTTTTGTACAAGAATTTCTAAAAAAAATTATAAAAATCCAGCCTCAGTCTAATATTACCCCAAGATATATTATTTCATTTATCAGCATTAGAATGTGTACCATTTAGGCTTAGAAGTTCTAATTCCTTGTAAATTCCTTCTTTTGATAAATATCATGTTATGTTAAATCATGTGCTTATGTTAAATCCTACATTTGAAATTACATTATTTACTATTACATTAAATATCACGTTTATTACATTAAATATATGTCTATTAGGTAAGTCCATTATGTAACTACAGGGCTAGCCTACTACAATAAATATCTGACTGTCATTAAATTTGCTGTGGGTTAAGATGATCGGGTCATCCAGGATGAAGCCTGGGCTAATAATGTCTGTGTGCCACCACATATTTATGTGAAAATGCTATATGACCTATGTAGTTCAGCTCGTTAGAGTTCGTTGGTCTTTTAGAAACTCCTTAGCAGGTTATGGGGGCAGTTGGGTAATAGTGTGGTATTCTCTACAGGTCTCTTTTTATCCTCAGGTTTTACTGATACCTCCGCATTGGTTTTATGTGGTCCATCACCTAGCAGCCATTTTTATCTCTTCATTCTCTTTTTTGAGCTTCAGATAGGCGTTTTTTTATCTGGCTCAGAGTCTGCATTTCGGAACAACTTCCTGCTGAGTTAATCATTTCTGAGCCCTCAGAGAAGCATGATAACAGTCAGCATGAGATTGTTAAGTGGTCAGAAGACTTATGTATTCTATTTCACAAAGTACACATATCATATCGTTTAACTTCGAAGTAATCATGAGTTGGATCAACTGATATAACTAATTAACTAACAAATTAACTAAAAACTCAAAATTTTAACTAGTACTATCGCTACTTCTATTGAATCATTACTACCATATCTGTTAAATTCTTTTGTTTTGCAAAAATTATTGACATTAGACATTTATATAATTATATTTAATAACTATTTACTATCTTTTACTATTTATACTTCCGAACAATATTAAGGTATAACTATTTTCCTAATTTCAAGCAGTTTTAACGATTTGAAGTTGTTTTTAATTTTATTTTGTAATTTACAGAGGAATTCGATGTTTCTAATCTAACTCTCCATCAAGCAAAACGATTGGAAATGGAGTCACAAGTAAGAGTTCTCGAGTTAGAAAAAGAATTGGAACAAGAACGTTACAGACTCTCTAGGCTCAGGAAACATCATTACCAATTAGCAGGAGAAAACGAGACTTGAATTAGCTTAAGTATTGACAATTTAAACTAATAATCGTTACATAACTATTTATTAATGTAGATAGTAAGGATATAATCGTTGAATGGAGAACGTTCTTAATATTTTGGGGTTGACATCACAGAATTAAATAAAAGAATTAAATGTTTATTGTTACATAAAATGAAGTTCCATCAAGTAACGGTCGAATCCATCAATTATTTAATAGAACTAAAATGTATTACTAAATAAACCTTTTACAACGTTTAATAATCGCAAATTTCATTTTGATATACACGATGTCTCCACTGAGCTAATTTGCAATCTTTAATAAATGATTTTATTAGTATAAATGATTACTACTGCATTTACTCAAATCGTTTAATCAAATTTACAGAAATGTGACTCTCTTGCAATGTTTTTCTTGTCCTTTCTTTGCTGGCCTTATCAAAAATTTTTGTTATTGATTGATTATTTCTATTGAGCGATTCCCATTTCGATATTGAAATTATCTGAACCTATGCTCTCTCATTATTTCGTTGATCGATGCCACGTTAATATTTATTCATTTTCTTAAACTTCTCCATTTTTAACTATCAATTATTCAGTGACTTACTGCACGCATTTCCATATATTTCCTCGTTACTCTACTAATGGAAAAATTTATAAATTTTAAAGACTGACCAGTTTACCGCAATTTGGGGTGGGTGACACTGAAGTATTCAAATATGCAGATAGTGTATATGTGTACACAATGAATTATTCCGCGTGACTATTATCATATAAATTTAAAACCAATTGACTACATACAGTATTCCAATTTTTATATTATTGATAATATACAGATAATTTTAGTGGAAAATAGTCAAATTTTTTCAAAAAAGTAATTTAAACCCTAAAAGTTTCTAGCGAAGTTTCGAAGCGAACCCAAATTATTACAAAATTTAGTAAAAATTGTAGCTACTTTGTTTTTTAATGAGGCTTTTTCTTACTCTTTTGACTTTTTGTCTAGCTTTCGGAATTGTTTTATTTCTTTTTCAAGACACTCTAATTAGTAGAATGTGTAAATATTTACAATATATCACAAATTGTCAGTGCAACTTACTAGTCGTTGAAATTATTTATATACACTCAACATTAATAACACACATATAAAATGTAACATAAATAATGGACAAAATACATTTTAAAATTTAGTTAAGGATAAAAAAAATTCGTTTGTGACATCTTTTAATGGTGTGTTTTAACTGATCCATAGAGAACAGAAAGAAAAAAAACAAAAATAGTATGATTAAAATGTAATTAGGTGTTCTTCATGTTTTATTAATGGGAATAATGTATTAAACCTGTCTTGATGGTATGCAACATGTTTTGCATGCAGGTGTATTATGGTGTGTATATGTAAAAGTAAGTCTTTATTTCATTTTTGATGTTGACTATAGACTACTGAGAAAACATCTAAAATGAAATAAAGACTTACTTTTACATATACACACATAATACAACTGCATGCAAAATATGTTGCATACCATCAAGATAGGTTTAATACATTACTTCCAATAATAAACCATGAAGAACACCTAATTACATTTTAATTATACTATTTTTGTTTTTTTTTTTCTTTCTGTTCTCTATGGATCAGTTAAAACACACCATTAAAAGATATTACAAACGAAGTTTTACTATCCTCAACTAAATTTTAAAATGTATTTTGTCCATTATTTTATGTTATATTTTATATGTGTGTTATTAATGTTGAGTGTCATAGCTGTATATAAATAATCTCAACGACTAGTAAGTTGCACTGACAATTTCTGATATATTGTAAATATTTACACATTCTTCTAATTACAGTGTCTTGAAAAAGGAATAAAACAATTCCGAAAGCTAGACCAAAAGTTAAAAGAGTATCTTCTTCTTAGTCGTTAACCTGATGCAGGTATCGTGATATCATGAAGCTGTTAGGTAATTTTTCCAATGTTCCTCCACGTTTTTCTATCTTCTGCCAATCTAGCACATTCTGACAATGGAGCGCCAATGGTAGCAACAATATGGTCCGTGTATCGTGTAGGAGATCTACCTCTACTTCTTTTGCCTTCTACTTTTCCTAAAAGAGTATAATTATATAAAAAATTGTATCTATTATAATGAAGTTTCCTTCCTTCCTTTAAACCCTTGACAGTAACTAATACCATTCAGATAAGTCATAGAACGAATGCCAAACATCTTCCTGGTTTGTGGGTTGGGGTATTTAAAAACCTATTGAAATCATAATTATGCTTCCAGATCTTCTTCTCAGAGGCAGAATTGTTGCAATCATATGATGTTCGAAACAGAATGGACACTTTTCCAATATTATTGGGCTGCTATACTGCTTCGAAAACCGAATATGTAATTCATACATCTGCCATGTTCAGAAAACTTCGTCGTTCATAGGATAGATTATGCGCTCCTCTGGATTTAAACGATTATTTATTCAAAGATCGACTTGTTTACAACTGTTTGCTATATATGCTGTTATAATATATATTGATGGCCCTATTGTCATAAATATAACGGTTACTTTTGGTTATTTAGATATTTATTCGTAGTCTCAAATTATATTTTACGTCAGTAATGATGTGAATGCCTCAAAACATATCTTACAATTATAGTTACTTTTTTTTAATTGACGAATTAAATCATAAGTTAATCAACCCCATGATATTAAAAATATGGTTAAACTATTGTTTAATAATATATTGGCACACAAATATCATATTATAATTGTATTTATTTTTATCCATTTTCACATTACATCATAGATTATAGTATTTGATAAATACCAGGTATAAAATAAGACGAGAACTGATTGACAAGCTTCTTGTCAAATGATAATATTCGTATTTATCATTTTGATCTTCACTAACCCGCAGATTCATGAAAAATATTCTGCTTTGAATTTTTTGTGCAAGTAGCTTTTGCTATATATATAAATGCTTTTATTAAATATATAAAATTTAATATTTTAAATATTTACAGGCCCCAGGTCGACTCAACCTGAATAAAATGAGTACCCTGGATAAAACCAGGGGTAATAATAGGCAGTTAAAGCGTAGCACTGGTATTGTCACCTTCCTTGTATAGTATAGGACCAAGAAATAGCAGACTACCCTGCTATAATCCCAATGCCCCACTAGCGGTATAAAGAGAGACTATTATTATAAAGAGAATATAATCAATCTTTCTACTTATTTCAACTTTTACAATTTGTTTCAAGCGTTTAACATAGCATTAACTACAGATACAGCAAACTCCTGTTATGTGAAGGTTTCGCCACGCAAATGTTTGTACTTTTTAATGATATTCGTTAAATAAATAGTGGTAATGAAACAGTGGTGGGCGCAAATCTGCCTGGACAGGGATCTATATATTATTATTAGAACTGTTTCTGGATAAATATGTTACATAAGCTAATTGTATGGTTTTAAATATTGTTATCACTATCAAAGTTCAAATCACTCTCATTTTGATACTGCTGTCATTTAAATTTAAAAATAAGTAGATTTACTTCACTTTCTCTCTGCTGCTCTCTATATCAGATTCTTTTCTTGCACTTCAAAAAGAGAATTCCAAGCAATTGGGAATATCAGACTCTCTTGTTACATAAACTTTCTCTCATTTTTCTTATGAATTTGAACACAAAGGAGAAGGTTCTCAACTTACCTGTTGCTTGAGATGTTTTTTATTTGATATTATTCAGTTAATTTACCGTAATTTTTAAATTTTTCAAGTAATATATCTTCAAGTTATGTTTACAAGATATTTATTAATATAATGGGGCAGAGCTTTCAGTGGAATTCCAGGTAGGAGGAGTCCGAAAGGATTGATTCGATACGAAGTTATGTCGCGTCGGTTCGCAAACCTTATCATGATTGGTATTTGTACATACATCAAAATCCAATATGTAGGTAAATGAAAACAAAAACGTACGATTCGATTAGCCGATAATTAAAACTAACTTAAACAGACTAACGCAAATCAGGTCCAATTGTTTCTAATTAATTAAACATTTGTCCCTTAATGGTTATACAAAATTCGTTTTACAAACAGTCTACTTGCAGTTGGAATAGAATGGATAGGTAAAAAACATCCTTGACATATTTTCTAATGGCTAATTCAAAGACCCCCAAGGATTTAAGGATTACGGACAAAGCAATTAGAACAAACCCAAAACTCTAATAAAGCTAACATATAATAATATAATTGTAATAGTTTCGATATATGGTACATCATTTTGTAATAATTACATCACATCGTAGTTGAAATTGAGTTTCAAGTGTATCACATAACTTATAAACCTGCATTCGTACTTTTAAACTAAGATGTAGACATACAAATATACCAAAAATATTAAAATTTAGTTTTTAATAATTTAAAGCTCGAGCTAATGCTTAATTGTTCCTTATTGCGTAGGTTTAAAGCTCTCTTTAATAATAATACGTTGAAGCTTACTTCGCTGAATATATTATTAAACAATACCGTTTCTCCAATAGGCAATTTTTTGTCTAAATAACAAGTTTTTCAACCGTTGTTGGTGTTTATATTATATACCGTTGTAGTTTATACACATTCATTTTACCATTATATATTTTATATGTTTGTATTACCTGAATTTGTATTGTACTATTTACAATTATTAAATTATTGTATTAAATTCATTATTGCGTTTTATTATGTTAATGTCGAAATCATAAGCACCCAATAGGAAGAATTACTAAGTTGCAACTTCCTGGAAGAAGTAAAAGAGGAAGATTTGGAGGCGCCCTTTAGTTTTCGGAAGCCGTTTAAGACATTGTCTTGGACGGCAGAGTTGTTCGAATAATTGCAAATTTATATTATAATCAAACATCAGTTTTAGTAGATGGTGTGGAATCACAGGCTGTCAATATTAAAAGAGGAATACGGCAGGGATGCCTCTTGTCATCCCTGCTTTTCAACGTTTACTCCGAAAGAATTTTTAGAAAAGCACTTTCTGAAAAACAAGAAGGAATACTTATGAACGGCGAAGTCATTAATAATTTGCGATATGCGGACGATACAGTACTCCTAGCTTCTAGTCAAGAAGATCTGCAAACACTACTTGATAGTGTCGTTGAGAGTTGTAGGGAGGCAGGTCTGGATCTGAACATACGGAAAACCAAAATACTCGTAATAAGTAAACAACAGCATATAAAACCGTGTATATATGTAAATAATACCAAACTTAAGCAAGTTGATAAAATCGTTTACCTTGGACAGCAATTAAATTGTAATGCAGAAAGTCACGCCGAAATTAGATCTGGGATAAAGCAGGCTACAGCTGCTTTTAGAAGGATGTCCAAGGTGTTATCTAATAAAGACCTAAAATTGGCATTGAGGATCCGCCTACTTCGCTGCTACGTGTTCTCGGTCTTACTTTATGGTGTCGAGTCCTGGAATCGATCTAAATCGCCTTGAGGCTTTCGAAATGTGGTGCTATAGAAGAGTTTTAAAAGTTTCCTGGATGCAGAAGATTCGAAACTCCACAATACTAGAACGTCTCAGCAAAACTACTGAGATCATAAGAAGCATCAAACAGAGAAAGCTGGAGTATTTCAGACTTATAATGAGAGGTCCCAAATATAGGTTGCTACAAAATATCAGGCAAAAAAAAATAACAGGCAAACGCAGTCCAGGATGAAGAACCTCATGATTGAAGAACTTGCGAAATTGGTATGGTGTTGATACAAGCATGCTATTTATTGTGGCAGTGAATTAAATTAAGATAGCTATGATGGAACCAAAGTTCTGAAAGGACATGGTACATGAAGAAGAAGCCTTTTATTGTTATAACTGGTCGTACAGCGGTCAATTGGCCAATTATACATCTCAAATTTGTGTAAACTTTTGTCTCGGGTTTT